AGCTTAACCGTAGATAAATTTAATTATCTATTCACTGGCTGCACCTTTTAGTTTTTGCTTCCTTGTATACAAATTTAATTTAATTACCTAGCTATATATATATATATATATATATTTTTTTTTTTTTTTGCACAAGTAAACACCCAATTTGCCACGTAAGTTTCCTATAATTTTTTCTTATGAAGATCAGAAAGGTTTACATAAGCCATTGAATATTTTACCCAATCTAATTAGTAGGCTGATCCAATAGTTCTGGTCACAATTAATTTAGAACATAAGAAAATCACAGAGAGTAAAATTGTAATTAAACAAAAACTTAACATAGAATGATGAAATTTCAGAAAAGAAATAAAAATGCAAGCCTGTCATTCACTACTGGCATCCCCCGGACTTCCCAGTCATTATAAACTTTATACACAATGATTCATCGGATTAACATGTTAATTCAACCTCAGTCACCAATGTCTTTCATCCATGTTTATGTTGTTGGCAGTTCAACTATATATAAATATAACTTTCAACTAAAACTTTAGTAATTAATAATTACAATATAATTCGGTATCAAGCAAAAACTTATCATTTAACTTCAAAATTAAAATTTAAAACCCAATTCATGAATTAACAAGTTTAAACACAGAATTCATAGACACTCCACGAATTTTTACTAAGTCATTTTTCACATCCTCGCAGAGGACATATCTAAATAAAAACCTAAACAAATGTTAATATTCAAGAATTGAATTAACAGAACAGATAGACAAGACAAGACCCTAATGGTTCCTCCTATAATGGCTCTGATTCAGTCACCGCAGACCACGTTTCTTCAGAACTTAAAAGCAAGCATCGAGTAGGCAACAGCAGCATAGTGCAGCCAAACTACAAAACAAGACAATAAGATCAGCTTCTGTCAGTTTTTTTTGCAAATCACGGGTAGTATCAACATTAAACAAAACAAAACATTAACGAAAGATCGAAACTAACAGACTCATAATAATTTATTAGATCAGTTGATTCCTATATCTTAATTTAAAAAAAACTGATGCAAAACGATTTCAGAAATTGGTAGCTAAAATTCAAGGAAAAGAAATTCTCTATTCTTCATATTTGGTGTTCTTTTTTCATTTTAATTTCTTTTTTCTATCAGTCAATTAGATCATTAACATTAAAAACAAATCATTAGAGCTATTTGTATAATTTATACAAAGTTATAAGTCAAAATTTCATTGTTGATGTGGTAAGCAAACAAAACAAAGCAAAAACATTTCAAAAATTAAATTGATTTCAGTCCAACTAACCTGGCTAAAAACTGAAACTAATTTCAGTCCAACATTAAATCCTCTGATTAAACAAAAAAAAAAAAAAAAAAGCTAGAAAGAGAAAAGAGAAACATACCATCCTTCAAGAAAACCAGTCTCTTGTCTAGGAGGAGGCTGTTGTTGAACGTACTGAGGAGCATAGCCTTGCGGAGCATAGCCCTGCGGAGGGTACCCTTGTGGAGGGTACCCTTGTGCAGGGTACCCTGGTGGAGGATAAGGGTCCTTTGATGGATACCCTGTTTAGTTAAATAATTCAAAATCAGATCGCATACCCATAAAATAAAAAATGAAAGCTTTAAAATAACAAGCATTAAAATAGATACCTTGTGGAGGAGGAACACCAACCGGAGGCTGTTGCTGATGATCGTAGTAGCTCATGGTGATGATGCTTCCACAACGACCAAAGGAAAAGAAAATGTGATGCGGAGAGAAGCAGTGGTTTGTATACAAAGAGAAAGAGAGTTCGAGAGAAAGAGGAACTTTCCTGTTTTCTTCCGTTAACTGAACCGACTAAATATAAACAACGATTCTCATAAATTTTGAATATTGAACAAGATGCTTTCTTTTAATATAATAATAATGATAATAATAATAATAACCACATTCTCCGTGCCCTGATTTTCCACTGGCTCTCCCACCTTTTTCAAAGGGACTTTCAAAATTTTCTTCTTTCACTTTTTTGAACTTTTTCTTCTCTCGTTACCGCTTTACGCGTGACAATTATTCAAATCGAGCACGACTATAGGCTATAACTATTATTTCAAAACATTTCTTTATTTTTTAATGTTTATTAATATTTAATGAAAATATATGTATAATTATGAATTTGCATGCGTCGTTGTCAATGACTATAAATATTTTAACTCGTTTATTCAAAATATTTGTTAAATATATAAAGTTTGTGCAACTAGATTATAAAGGCGTGATCATTGGTCAAGATATGAATATAGATTTTATCTTATTTTAATCTATATTTTATAACAAGATCAATTTATATTATTGACATAATTTAATAGATCAAATTTTATCTTATAAGAAATTTTCATTATTAAATTAAAATGATTTAATTTCTTTTATCCATTAAAATATTATAAGAATGTAAAAAAAAATCAAATTTAAGTCTTCCCGTTTTGACTTTAATTTTATCGTTCAACCATAATGATTCAAATAAAGTACAACTATATAACTATCATGTTAATAAAAAAAATATAACTATTATAAATGTATTTCTAAATATCTTTTTTATTTTCAAAACTTTATAGATATTTACTCAAATACATGTATAATTATGACGTTTACATGCGTAATTGATCGTGAACAAGATTATAAACAATCTATCTTATTTATTCAAAATATTTATTGAATATATAAAATATAAATTAATGTAACTATATTATAAGGGTGTGGTCAAGATAAAACTATAGGTAAATAATTTATTTTATTTTAATTTATATAGATAAATTAATTTATAATTTATGCTTTAATAGGATAAATTTACAAAGTTAACTTAATTTCATAGTTTAAATTTTATCTTATCTTATAAAGATTTTGATTAAAAAGAAGATAAGAAAAATAAATTTTTCTTATCATTTTCCATAGATATTATGTTTTTATTTTTTTTTATATTAGCTTAATTGTATATTTTACCATCTATATATTTAAGAATTTTTAAAGCATTAGGTTTCACTATAAATCTTTTTATTTATAAGTTAATGGTTACATTTTTATTTAATATTAATTCAATACAAATATTAACTCGGTGTGAAAAAGTATTTATATACATATATATAATATTTAATCATTTAGATAAAAGATTATAAAAAATTATAATTTTATTTAATCTTTAATTTTTAATAATTAATTTTTTTCTTAAATACTAAGCAAAATTTAATAAGGAAACAGGTAACTCATGACTTGATAGGGTTAGCCTGTCCTAAACCCACTTATTACATGATGTTTATTGAACATGGCCAAAAAGTCCTGTATTTAATCCAAACTAGAAATTTAAAGCCCAAACTCTATAATCCAAGCACACTTATAGAGTTTAAGCACAACTATGTCAACTCCTTTTAGCATGGCTATATTGAGGGTGTGCTTCCTACCATCATTTGACAACATGTGTTTAGCATGGTCATGCTTCTTTCTTAAATGTGAAAGTTACCTTTTTAGGCAAAAGAGTGCATAATTCTACACGATCATGCTTTAATTTGTTGTGTTTCTATAGTTTAGTCTTTTATACATGATTGTGCTTCTTCAAAATGCTAATTATTCTAATGTTTCATCGATTTTTTCTAAATTTGTTTTAACCTAGTATTTTGCACCAACACAACTCAAAACTAGGTTAAATTGCTCAATTTAATCAATAAACAATGCAAATTTTAACCAAACACTACTACATAAAACTAACATAATTATGACACTTATTTGTCATTAGTTATTTTTTTAAAGGATTATGCTATTTTTAAAGAATTATTTATGTACTTTCCAGCTTAAACTTTTCTACTATTATTTTCAGCTAAGAGGGTGTTTGGTATGTGAAGTGTTTTTACTTTCTCAAGAATCTTAAATCGAAAATTTTAGTTTTTCATATTTGGTAGTTATTTAAAAGAAATTCCCAGGAATATAGTTTAATGGGAACCATTTTTATCACATTTTTCCTACAAAAACATTTTTATAAAAGAGGTGAAAATCTAACTTTCTCGAGTTAAAGGGAGATTTTTATATATGTAAAAAGACTACATATTCTTTTTTAAAACAAAAAAAATATATTTTTCTTTCTCTCTTTTTATTTCTCTTTCTCCTTCTCTTCCTCACTCTCTCTCCCCCTCTCTTTTCCTCTCTCCCTCTCTCTCTCTTTCTCTCTCTCTCTTCCTCTCCCTTTTCCTTTCTTTTCTTCTATTTCTCTTTCTGCCTTTCTGTCTCTCTCACTTACTCTCCCTCTCTCGCTCTCCCCCTCCCTTCCCTTGTATTTGTATTTCTCTTTCTATTTCTTGCATGTTATTATTTCTTAATCTTGTCAATTTTAATAATATTGTTAAAATTATTTTGTTTTTACATTTTAATGGTTTTTGTTAACACTTATTTATTTATTTGAATGAAATGAAAATATATTTTTATTCTTCTTAATTATAATGTAACATTTTTCTTTTCTTTTTTTTTTTTACTCTTTTTGTTGAATTCTTTATTTAAATAATTTAATAAATTTTTAACTTTTTAAAATAGTTTAATGTCATATTTGTAATAAGATTTGAGTGAATAAATATATCTGATGAGATTATTTTAATAAAGAGTATTTTTTTGTAAAAAAATTATATATACATAAATATATTATTGTAACCAAACATGGAAATTTTTAATTCCTGAAAATTCTGTATGAATATTTTTAAGAATTTTTTTTATGAATAACCACACATATTTTAGTTATTTTCAGTAATCATAATTTTCAAAAATCATGATTCCTATATATGAAAAAATTTATCCCTACTAAATGTCTCCTAATAATAAATGTCTCCTAATAATAATGGTATTTTAAGGCTCGATCCGAAAATTACCTCTAATCTCTAATATTTATCATTGTGTTTCATAATTTTATCCATTTACTGTAGCCCACACGTGACTTCATATATATATATATATATATATATATATATATATATTACATTCTTTCATTTACTTATTAATTTTTCTCCTATTAATAGTAATCTATAACGATATATAAAAATTGATATCTTCTTTTTGTATAAGCATTTTATACAACTAATTTACTTTTGCACAAGATTCGTCTTTCACTCACGAACTTTCTTCTCTCATCTCATGATATAAAGTAACATAACAATAAGCCACGATTACACAAACTGTTATTTTAATCTTTTATTTTATTTAAAAACTACACAAGTTTGTGTCTTTTTATACCGATAATAAAAATATATTTTATGTTTTCATTAGTAGATTAAATACACTATTTAAACTTGCCCCTTTTTTCTTTAAACTAAGATGCCTAATTGTCAAATGTTAAGGAGTAGTTTTTCAAGATATTTGAATATATTTAAGAGATTCAACTCCCACCAATGTTTTAAATCCAAAAATGTTATATCCTATAACGAAATTCACATACGATGTAGTAATTTTAATGCTTATTGCTTAATGAGTTTTTATGTGTCTAGATTTTTTGTTTCAGCCCAGGCAGTGCAAAGCCCTCATGATTCATCTCAAATACTTTCAAAAAATAAATAAATTATATAAGTCTTTTTCTTGATAAATATATCCCTCTCAAATAATGATGAAAAATTACCTTAACAGAAATATACGATCATATATCCTTTTTTATCATTGAAATTCATCACTCATTTCATGTAGCATTGATTAACTTTTATGGAACTAAAACACCTTCTATTGGATTGTCTAGACAACACAAAGTTTTATCCAAATTAGTTCCTTCAATATGATATTTGAATTCTTCCATGGTTACTATTATGATAAAGTATATTTGTCTTTAAGCGTGTTCAAAAACTGCTTCAATATTTTTCAAAGTGAATTATATTTTTTTCAACAAAGTCTTCACTATATCCATATTTAGGAATTGAACCTTTGACAACATACTAAAAGAACATAGATATTAACAAAACGTGTTAGATCTTGTTGGTTTGGTTAAACATGTTTATTTACAAACACTTCCTAACACGAGTTTTGAATTGGCGTCAAGTTGAGCTACACGCTTATAGCCTAGTGGGCTGCTTAGCTTGATTAATTTCTTGGATCAGTCCAAGTGTAAGGCCCAATTTTTTTCGGCCGAACGTGAACACAAATTTTGAATGCAGAAGTTTAATTAGGAAGAAATGCGCGTGCTCACACACACTAAGATAGGATTAATGGAACAGAAATGTTGGACCCAAAACACACACACACAAAGGATTAGGAAGAGCAACGAACAAAACCAAAGATAGTAACGGTAAATAATGATAAAAGAATGTAAAAAAGTACCCTTGACACAAATTAAAAAAGTTTTCATAGGACGTTAGGGACAGTCACCGTGGCAAAAAAGACAAAGGGAAACAATTCTTCACTAGTGTCACAACAACCCTCCTAGTGCTAGAAAAAGAAATAAAAATGTAAGCACTTAATTTATTCCTCTTAATTTGCCACAACGTTACTATTCTAATTTTTTATTGAAATCATTTTCTAAAATAAAAAATATTAGACATCAGTCATTTAATATTTTTTTATCATCAAATTAATTATTCAAATATTTAATTGATCAGGAAATTTATCTTCTTTGTTTCACTAAATTAGTCCTTGTGTCACTATTTTAGTCTATAAAAATAACTACGGTCACATTTTAAATTTTTAAGAGAATAATTTGGTGATTTTTTTTTTAAGATTTTAATGTGATAATTTAAATTTTTGAAAACTAAATCAAAATTTTTTAGAAACACCAACATCATTTAGTTATACTAAGTTATTAATCAATTCATTACTATTTTTATTTATCTATTTTCTCTTTCATTTGTTAATATCAATAATACACAATCTCACATGTAAATTGTTGCTATTTTTTTTCTCCTGTTCATTTCATGTTATTTATCATCAATTTCATAATTTTATATGTATATTGAAGAGTATTTGCAGATAACATTACCTCTCAAACAAAAAAAAAGCAACAATTTACAGAAAAAATTATTTTATTTTTTAATTGAAATAATACTCTTAAATTTCATTTGCTTTGTTTGTGGTTCTCCAAGCAATTTTTTGTTTTCTATACCACATGTATTCTTTAGTGGAGGTTCAAGTAAAGTAAAACTACTATGAATATGATAAAATTTTTCTTTCCTGTTAATACAATTGCATATTTATGACTCAAACTTTAAATCATTGATTAAGTTGGAATAAATTGTACTAATTGATTCATGCACTCAAAGATTTCAAGTTTTCTAATATGTTTGTTTATAGTAACGAGGTTCCCTCACTTGGAGTATAAAAAGGGTTTCCATTGCTATTTCAATAATATGATAATATATAGAATAAATTATCAATTTAATTTTTAAAGTATTACTGTTTCTTAAATAATCCTTTAACTAATAAAATTATATTAATATTTCCTAAAGTATTAAATATTCATCAATTTATGTCCCTGAGATGATATATTTTTATGAATATTAAGGGACTAATTGAAGAAATTTTTTATACTTGGAAGGACTATGTAACATGCTTTTATTTAGGAACTATTTATATAATTTCAATAGTTTAACTGTTCAAGGACTATTTATTCAGGAAAGAGTGATACTTCTAATACCAAATTTAACCAAATTGAATTTTTATTTGATAATTTTTTTTATAATGTTTCTAGTTACTTATAAATTTGCAATAACATGCCTCAACTATTATTTCATTAAACAAGTACATTATGGTGTGGAAAACTAACATAATGGGAAATCCAGGCACTTTTCTTACAGCTGGAGGTCATATCTTCCCTATAAACAAGTAACAAATCATTAAGTAGTGAAATTGGCTTGAATCTCTTAAACAAGATATCTGGTTTGAATCTTTTATATGAAAAAAATAATTAAAAAATAAAATCTGACTAGAATGATGACCAATCAAGAAAGTTTGTGGATAATTACTCTAGTGACATGGTGACTCGCCCAAAAAAAGAAACAAACAACAAATTGAAGTGTACAAACATGTTGATAAAAAAATATAGTCAATATATAGAATAAATACCCTGTCTATTGAATTAAAGGCATAATTGAATGAGAAGGAAGGGAGAAAGTGATTGCACCATTGACCGATGATCCCGTCCAAACAAAGCAACCAAGCTACATACAAACATTAATCTGTAAATGGTGCATAGTGGAGGAAGCACTAGCAGGGGGCATGTCGGATCTTAAGATTTGAGTGCATGACTTTTGTTTTTATATGTACCCTAGATTATCTGATCTGCTATGGACAGTGGAGTATGTGGATTGCATTATTTTCTCGTGGAGTTTAACTCATCCCAGACTCTGCTCGTGCCACAACGTGTTTATACATCCACATATAATATAATTAAATTTAAATCAATACCCGAAAAGGAACCAATTAAGCTGAAAAGGATACATATACACACAGGACCACTACATCAACATATAGTATGTTTGGATTAGCCTTCCATACTCAAGCTAAAACAACAAATATTAATTGTTTCTACTTTTTTTTATAGTATCGCGATGATTTTCTGGAATAAAATCAATTCTCACTAATATCCAAACACAACAAATTTCATGGACAGTGAGTTTGACAAAGCTGAAAAGCAGTGGAACATTATTATCGAAATCCATACACTAGTCCACTACTAAAATTTCAATTAGGCAAAGCTACACAGAAACTACCATAGTACCATACCAATCTAAGTGATTTAGAAAATGGTTTGATTATGTTCAAGAAATTAAACAAGCGACCATGATGTTCTATAACAAGTGGCTAATGTCTCTAATTGTACGAACAATATGTATACATGTCCTTCTACAGAGAGAGCTACGTTTAACACAAACCCTACGTATAATAGTAGACACTGATTAAAGAGGAGGGTGATGTGAATGTATCGAAAAGAGTGAAATGAAAGGAAGGGTTGAACTGCATGCATACGGGAGTGGGGGCTCTAATGGTGCATTCAAGTTCCAATTTCTGCAATGCTCTGTAAGGCTGGCCTCCATTGCCCACCAGAACCAACTAAATGCCTTCCAACACCTTTGTTATTGCTGCTACCATTGGTCCCCATTCGTTGAATCTCCTGTTCCACCTGACAATAAACAGAAAAAAGAGATAACAAAGGCATTGCATTGGATAGGCACACACGCCATGAGGTAAAGGGAAAATGACAAATCGTATTGATTCAAATAGTACAGATTACACAAGTCATGCATGGTTGCCTCCAACAGCTATTAATCCTTGTCTGGGAAACATTAATATAACTAATAGTACTACTTTAGTAATGTTGTCTTTATCTGATACCTTTATAGTTTGGTTGTTTTGCTTTAACCTTGTGATTTTCAATTTGTTCTTTTTAATGTGCCAATGAATTGGCCTAACATAATAAATTAATTGTCTCCCAGTAATAGCAATCAGACTAGTAAAATTCGATGTTAGACAGGAAATTAAGAAATACTCTTCCAAATGGACTCCAACTTGATCACTTTATAATGCACTTAGACCTAATGCAAATTGGTAAAATAACAGAGTGGCTCTTCTAAGATAATTCCAACTTGACCACTATTCACTTAACGCAAATGGTAAAGTTAGGTGTTGTTTGAATAAATATTTAAGTTCCGTCTCTACTCTTCTTTACTCTTTTCTTTTTGTTCAAATAAAAATCCCTTGAAAGTTGAAAAGATCATATCTTTAATAAAAAGCATCCATGCATGCTATCCTATGATTTGCCCCCCAGCGGTCCTGACATGCCTTTTGTAATTTGTTAGTGCTTTCATTAAGTGGAAACGTGAAGAAACTTAGAAAGTGATAAAAGTAACAGAACAAAGGCACGTATAATTATTTGGATGGTGGAGCATGCATTGTTTGACGTACTTTCCTAATTTACCACTGCATGGTCGACTATAAGGACTCTTTTGTTTTATACTCAAAATCAATTTCTTTCACTATACACATGTCGAAGATGTAAAATTTGTGGTTGTGATTCATTTAGACACATTTTTATTATGTTTAATGGATAAACTAATTCTAGCTACTTTATTTTAAGCCAAACTTCTAACCATAACATACACATATAAAATTTATAGACGAAATTAATTTGAATACATATTTAAGTTATATTTAATGGTTTAAAATTAATTTTCCCAAAATTATTTCTATTTGATACAAACGTGTTGTCAGATATACTATGATAACTGAGTAAGTCATTAGTGTGCTACTTATGTAAAAACCTATACTTCCATAGGGGTTACCTGTAGTTCAAAAAAGGTTTTACCCTTTTCTATGACCCTCCTACACG